ATGTTTAGTAAACTTTAACATATGCATTAAAAACTAAATTTAATTTATTTCTGTTCATTCTTCAGTATTAAGCTCTTTGTCAATTAGATCATGTATCAGCTTGTTGTTAGGCTTAAATCATAAAGAAGGACTTAATTAGTTTAATAAGATATTATATTTTTATTGCAGAATAGTAGTTGTAGAGAGAGATTGATGAAAATGTGTTATCACACAACTTAAAATACACTATTAAAAATCCTTTCAAATGTTGAGTCATAGGTCAATTTTGATAAGCAGTAACTTCAAAAACTTTAATTATCTTTATCATTTTGTTTGTTTAATGTTCCTTCACCCAATTCCTCTCATGATTCCTAAACTCAGAGAGAGTCCAGATGACTTCCCCATGAAATTTGGACATTTCCTATAGATTAATATGGGACTTTGTTGAAACACATGTAAGGAGTCGATTCCAACCTGTTATATTTTGTTTGGGGATTATTTTTAGTTCATTTTCTTATTTATTTTGTTAAGGCTAGACTACTTCACCTCATCTGGACAAAATTCTAAACTCACCTTACTACGACAACTGCTGATGGCAACGTATTATGGCATAAAACCTGGAAATGACATCTTGGAGGAGACTTCCACAGGAAGTTAAAAGAATGATCTCTCATCCCAAATTGTCACCAAAAAGAACAATGAAAAAATATAAAAGATTAAACGTAAGGGTAATGACATGACTTAAAGAAAGGTTATTAGAATTAAACAAATGTTAGCCACTTAAGTATATAAATGGGATAGAGTGAGCATAATCATGTAACATCACCACAACTGCATTAAAAAAGGAGGTGAAGCTTGAGATCAAATGAGATGGAGCTAAGGATCAAGCAAGATAAAACCAAGGCTTTCAAGTTCCATTGATGACAGAGATGGTTAGGCAAAGTTAATTTGTAAGATTTCCTTGTGAATTTTTGGTAGATTTCAATTTCATATATTTGCTTATCAGTTTCATAGAGATAATTCTAAGATAATTATAAATTAAATTATAAGTCCCCAAGTATTGGGAAAAGTTTCTTGTACAAACTTTTTTGAATTTGATAAAAATAGCAAAAATTCAAAATATAATGAAGTTATCTTTTTATTTTGTTATTGTACATAATTGGGCTTAGAAAAATAAACAGATTTTTCGTTATTATGTATAGTAATTATTTTGGGTTTTTGATTCATTAACTATTGCCCATATAAAGTCCAGGCCTGGCACTAACTGAACCCTCATTTATTTAATGCATCATTAGGAAACTATCCAGACTTTCGATCATAATTAGTGAATGTTCCTTGTCAACTATTTGCATTTCCACACATGTTTGTTTTTTGTGTAATTTCAGTGCAGTAAGTTCTAGAACTGAGTTTAGGATGTATTAAATGCCTTTTTTTTCCCACAGAACTAGTGTAAAAAATGGTGATTAAGCCATATAATGCCACATACATATTGAATGAATTAATCTTCGAGTAGACTATTCACAAAAACTTTAATGAGCTTTAATATTTATATTCTGCAGATAAGAATACAATCACATACTAAAATATTATCTTTCATTTGATACCATGTTTAGTTAAATCCATTATTAGTGACATCAAGTGTACATCATTTGTTTGGCAAATATAGTACAGTAAAACCTCAATTTAATGGACTAACTTGGGTGAGGGGTGTCTGTTAAAGCTGAAAGTCCATTATATAATAAAGTAGGTTTGCCAAATGCATGTATTAAACTAAGTAATATGCCAATTTTTTATCTGCTTTTACTTAATTTTAATTGCACAAACGTATCTATCTACTTAAGTATATATGAGAAGTTTAATTTCACAGAAAATTTTTCTATGTGTATTATTGATTATGTACTCACTATAGTTCTGAGACTGTAATAAACAAGTATGCAATTTAAATTTAAATAAATAAAACAAGCATTTTTTGAAAAATACACTTTAAAAGAATGATTCTTGGATTTGAAAAATAAATAATCTGTTAATTCAACAACATTTAAAAAGCATTTTAAAATTAACAGGGTATTAATTTTCAAATGTCTGTTAAATCCAAGGTTCATTAAATCAAAGTTTTATCGTATTTTATTTTTCCTAACTTACACATAGTAAAACCTGTAAGAGGCAAAACTTCCTTATTACAATTCTCATTAGTACATAACTCAAATCTATATTTCAAAATTCATGAATAAATTTAAGAAATTAGTAATTTCTTACATTAACATATAATTAGATAACTTTTTAAAATGGAAATTTATATTTCTATTAGTGTGTAACAGAAATATATTAATTTGCTCTAAACCCGAAAATTTCATTGTCTCATAAATAATTATTATAAACTAGCAGATAGGCTCAGTATTGCTCAGGCAAAAAGTAATGATAGCGAAGATTAAGATTATTACGTTATAGTCAATCTTACCCATTTTCAAAGAATGCAAGAATTAGGTCCCCTGTTTCTAGACTAATTACAGAATTTTTAGATGGGTCTAAAATTATGTTCGATTTCCTGCAAAAACGAAAAAAACCGCATCTGTGTCTTGTACGTCGCTTTCTCTTAGCAATTCCATTGTTACGTAACACTTCCATTGTTGATATGTCCATTGTTCACACTTCTATTCTTAACACTGCCATTGTTACTTAACACTTCCATTGTTAAAACTTTAATCCTGTTTCTCTCCCCCAGGGGGAATTTCGAAAAATCCCTTCTTAGTGTGTGTTTTCGTGACGTACCCTAACTGTGTACCAAATTTCAACTTTCAACTTGTAACCGTTTGAGCTCTGCACTTATTATTATTATCATTATCAACTCGTCTCGATTATATATATAGATTGAATTTTATAAGCTATTATTTCTGTTCTTTACTTGACAATGTTGTTTTGTTTTTAGAAATTTTTTAGTAAACACAAACAACAGCTAAATGTAATAAAAATGTTTTCTTTTTTATCTTTAATTTAAAACAGTATATTTTTACTAGTAATGCAATTAAAAGATTATAACAATATCATCACTAATAAAAATTTGGCTTTGCCAAACAAGAGAAAATAGTCAGAAAACTTTATCTTAACATCAGCAAAATGGATACAAATTAATCAATGTTTGAATGGAAATGGTTTGAAAATTTGGTAGCAAGTAAATAATTTAAAATGTTATCAGAAATAAAATTTTAGATTATTGTAAACTTTAAAATTATAACAAAAATTATTTATCGTTTTGAATTTTTTGTAGGTAATAACACCTTGGAATAACACACCTTAGGTAGTGATACTTTTTAATCTTCTAATATTTTCAGTCATTTTTTTATCAGCCTTCTTCGGGATAAAAAATAGCAATTGAATGATGGTTTTCATTCAAAATAAATGGAACATAAATGTATTTCTGATGCATGTATTTTAAATACTATTATTCTGGAACAAAAAATTCAAAAATGAGAGAATACTGGAATTTTAAATGATATGTAAATGAAAAAATACGAAAAAAAAAACTAAAATAAAATATTTAGTTTATTTATTTTAGTTGTTTTTGTATTTTTTTCATTTATGTATTATTTAAGTTAAAAGTTCAGCATTTTCTCATTTTTTAATTTTTTATTTTATAATAGTAATATTTAAATAGATGCATTAGAAATACATTTAGTTTTCATTCAAAACAAACAGAACATGTCATTCAATTGCTATTTTTTATCTCGAAGATGATCAATAAAAACCACTGAAAATATTATATCAAAATGCATCACTGCATTCTAAGATTTTTTGAGGTGTATTTATTTAATGCAAGTGCAGTATCCAAAGAAGTTTTTTGTAGGTATTAATTTATTATTTTTTGCAAACTCTTATAGCTATTCCTTTTAATATTAATCACGAATCATGTCCAAAAAGAATGTATCTTATGAGAATTCTTTTTAAATTCCTTAAAACTAATTCAAAACATAGATACATTTTAATAGACATATTTGATTGAATAATATATTTTGAATAAAATATTCTATTAAGGAATTCTAATTAACACTTGCAAAATTAAAACTAAAAAAATCACAATTCTTTAATATTTGAAGAATTTTGCTAGTCAATAACATATAAAATTTACTTTTTATACATTTTTAATCTACTTGCCTCTGATAAATTCAGCTTCACATGTCCATTCAGTAAAGGATCCTTTTTTTCAAAAGTTGCTTTAAAAAAATAAATGTAATTTATTAAGTATAATAGTAATGTTTTTTTTATTTTGTTTTGGTTATACTTTATTTTCAAAATTAATACACTAAAAAGACAAAAATTATCCATAAGAAATTACTTATTGTGACATTAAACATTTCAGCCCAACATTGTTGCAATCATATTTTAATTTTAAAGTAAGCTTTCCATATATCTGGTCTCAATTTTCATGTATCTAACTCTGTTCTTGAGAAACTTTTGAATTAAAATTGCATGACTCCTTGTCCAGACTGAAAGTTCATATATAGTTAATTATGGTTTCCAACCTAAGTTTTCTGTATCTGGTCTCGATTTTCATCTATTTAAATACATTCTTGAGATTAACAGAGGGCAGACAACAGTGGAAATGTTTATTAGGCTGCAATTTGAAAATTACAGTCTAATAAAAAGAATATTATGCTTTAAATGTAATGACTTTATATGAGTTATTACACAATAAATATTGAAAAACTTTAAAACACCTTAATTGGAAATTTTTGCTTTTTTAAAGAAAGAAATGTAAATAATACTCAGAATGATTAAGTGTTATGGAAAAAGTATGTAAAATCAAAATTTGATTATTGAAAAATTCCAAAGGCTGGTCATCTGTTTAAATTTAAACATATTTTTAGATTTATGCTAAAAATTTTTCTGTACCTAAAGTTCTTATAGCTTTAACAGTTATTTTTTTTTAGCATAAAAATTCTTAATCTTAAGTTATTAAAATACATTAAGTAAAAAAATTAAACAATACTTTCACTATTATTAGAAATTCAAAGTAAAAAATATTATTCTCTTAGAATAGAACTAATTTTAATTTAGTATAATATTCTTTTATTAATGTATATAAATAACTTACTAAATGCCACTGTAAGATGAAGAATACAGGACACAAAATCTCCAAATCTTAGTGTTCCATCTTTTCTCATATAACGTAATGCCAGTAAGGATAATGTTTCCACATTTAATTGAAATCCTACATTTATGTTAATGAAACTGTTAAGAATTAACAACAAAAAAATATCAAATCATAAGAATTCTTACCAATATCAATTAAAGCATCTTTTAATTTTTCTGCTCTTAATATACCCGATGTTCCTTTTGTGTGATTTCCAAAAGTATTCTGTGAAAATAAAACAGTTTATCTTCATTAATATAATATTAAAAAAAAAATACCCAAACCAACACACCCTATAATTGTAAAATTTGCAGAAAATTATTAATATCATCGGGAAAAAGAAACTGCGCATCACAACAAATAATTGTGATATAGTAAACAAAGAACATAACATTTACATAAACAAACACTTGTCACCTTATAATAGAAATCTCTTCTATAGAACTAGACTGTTGAAAAAGCAAAGAAAAATAATAAACACATGGACTAGTGGAGGTAATATATACATAAAAAAAAGACATTAATTCTTTACCAATCTGCATACAATCTTTACAACAAATTGTCAGCTTATACCCAAGATGGAAGAACTTTTAGAACATAACGAGATACAGCCCTTTCTTTGTAAAATCTGCTATGTTTTTTACTGCAATGTCAGAAGCTTAAACAAAAAATTTTCAGAAATTACAAATATTATACAAGACTGTAGTTGTAATTTCAGCATACTAGCATTGACTGAAACCTGGACAAATGAAAGCAACCCTCCACTAAAGATGCACAATTACCAAGGAGAGAAAATTGAAAGATCACCAGGTGAACACGGCAGTATCGTCCTATACATTAACAAGATTCTAAACTATGAACTAATATCAACTTTAACTTTTACGGAAAATTATATAGATATTTTAACAATAACTTATAATAAATATATGTTGGTGACTACATACCGCTCTCTGGCAACAAATTCCAATAGGCTTTTGACATACTACAGACGATAATCTCATATAAAACCAATAGCAAATATAGAGATCACAAATTCATAATTATTTGAGACCTTAACATTGATTTGCTTAAAGAATATTCGATTAGTGCCAATGAATTAACTTTTGTTTAACTGAAAATCTAACAATTTTAGCAAACTTATCACAGCCCACTAAGTACGGCAATCAAACTCACTTGTTATTAGACATAGGGCTAACTAACGTAAGTGAAGCTAAATTTTCAATCCACCAGTATTTAGTCCGATGAAGAAACAGTAAATTTGTATAAAATTCTGTGCACAGCTCAGAAAAACTGTTACAGAGACTCTGGAAATAACTTGGCAAGTATTTAGTAAACAATCTTAATCAGATGCAGGTTTTTAGTGAAAAGTAATGTGAAGATCATGTGTATTGTTTTCTTTGATATCAAGGGTGTTATGAACAAAGAATTTGTCTCAGTAGTCCAAACCATCAACTTCCATTGCTACTGTGATGTTTTGTGGCAATTGTGTGAGATCCCGGACAGGTCTGAACTGTCACGAATTTTGTGAATTTTATGTTTTAAACAGCAAAAGAAAAATGTTAGAAGTTAGACACAGAGAATTTGTTTATATTAGAAATGTGATGCAGTGTTGTAAATCTTAGAAGGAATGTCATCCTATGATTGACCATCTCCAGTTGGGAGATCAAATTCAGCTTTGAGTTTGACCTCTCCCATGCTCTGGGTTGGAGTCCTGTTACATTTAGTAATGAGAGACCGGCCGCTCGGAAAGCATGGATGAGGGAGATCAACTAATTGAAATTGCTAATCGAAAGACTGAGATTAATATAATCCCCGATCATCAAGGACACAATGCACTTGGTTAGTCAAGACTCAGTCAGTCAACACGCTAAGCGCAGATCCTCTGGACTGTGAATATCTATCTGGACCTTGTGTTGATGTATGTACAAAAAGTGAAATCGACATTGCTAGTCTCTGATTGCACTATCCTCTCCTTCCTGACAACTCTGAACTCCAGCAAAACTCCTGCCTGTCATCCTCAAGAATACTGTCCCAGGGCTGCCATCATCATCTATTTTTAATCATTCCCTGGAGAAGACTACAATCTCTAACTGGATATTGTACCACATGGATTATCTACGGACTATTTAGACTATCATCTGAAGGAATCTTTCTGCAGAATCTATAAGCATCCTTTCAGTCTTAATAAATGGTTGATTATAAAGACATGTCATCTATGTCTCCATGACCACCAGACATATGGAAAAGACAGACCATTTTTGATGCAAAGTTAATAGATTCCCTGTAAGTTGGCAAAACTCACATTGGTGTCAGAGAAGTGGGATTTTAAGTCCCCAATCTCCACCAGGGTCAGCAAACTCACAATTGTATGAAAATGTAAGAAGGTAATGCCAGAACCTCTGGCACAATAACAAGTTCCTGCTTCACCACAACAATGCTCCAGCTCACTCAGCACTGAACACACAAATGTTTTTAGCCAAAAACATTTAGTTGTTCAATGGCTGGGAACTAAACATGAAGGCTATCATGCCAACCTTCTTACTTACTAGATTTGGTCTCCAGCAATTTCTTTTTGTTCCCAAAAATTAAAATTAATTGAAAAGGTGTTTTGACACAATTGAGGATTTTCAGAGGGAATTGCAGGTGATGCTGAATCTAATAATATAAATGACTTTCAGGGAGTATTCAAATCATGGAAGAAATGCTGGAATTGTGAATGGACAAGGGGATTACTTCAAGACTGATGGCAAGCAATAAGAACTAAAATAAGTTTTCAAGTTTCAAGTTTTAGAACATTAGTCCAGAATATTTTGGATACCACCTCATAAATTACATTTGCTGATATTAACTATCTTCAAAAATTTAAATGAATATTTTGAATTGATAAGAATTAACAACTGAACATCGATGTCACTGAAAATATTTATAGTTTGATATCAATAGATGTTAAGATTATTATTTTGTAATATGATTCTGATACATGCAAATTATTTTGGCTCCCAATTGTCATTGGATGATATTAAGTGGTAAATACATTTTAAATGTTAAATGTTGTCAAATTGAACAAATTATTTAAAAATTTTAAGCTTGAAATAATTGTGTTTATAGAGTTTTAGATATAATAAGTGGTAAACTAATGAATAGTTTCATCTTTACAGCTTGTGAAACTCTCAGTAAAAGTCATAAATTTTATTTTGTTTAATAACTGAAATTTTTTCATATATCCATAAGCTCTTAAATACAGTAGTTACTTAATTTTGCATCATGATATATATGTTTGTTAATATGGAATAGTAAGAGCTGTTTCTCTTAATTTAAGTTAATATAACTGTCTCAAATAATAGTGATATTCTTTACTAGGCAATACAATTGATCTCCCTATAACACTTGATAATTCCATTTTATATGAGTTCCATGTTGTATGAGTCACTTAGATTTTACAAATACGTGAGCTGTTCACAGTCTGGCACACATATTTGTAAAATCTAAGTGACTCATACAACATGGAATTCATATAAAATGGAATTATCAACAATGTTATAGGGGGGGTCAACTGTATTAATCATTTTAATTATTACACAATTTCAGTTGTAAATTCAATACTTACAATTGCCATCTATTGAAAAAGAAATTAAAAATTATTATTTTATATATTGATCTATTTCAAAATTGTTATAAAAATATTTAATATTTTTTATACCTGCCACATTTTTAAACTGCACATTAAATTCTTATAATCACTAAATTTTAATCTTCCGTTTCCTGTTGACTGGATTATGTTAAGATTAATAAATGATAGTATATGAATTAAATGTAGTTTCAAAGTATGTTTTTTTTTAACAGAAACTATATTAATATAACATTAAGTAATATTTTAAACATTTCCATTAATAAAAATAAACATAAATTATGTAAAACAATGAAAATGTGTTTGTATTGAATTCAATAATGTCCTGAGTGACCATAATTAAAGTATCTCTTTTCAACACTTTCTATTAAAATTACAAATTCATCATCTTCAGTTCAATTATGATTTCATTTCTTAATTGTAAAGTTTCATGTGTTTCTTTGTATTCTTTGGTAATTTTGTTATATCAATGGTTAATAGAACCATTTAAAACATTTATAAATTAACAGATACTGATTATAAAATAAAACCTGTTTAAAATGGAAACACACCTGAATTGGAAAAGTAGAAGTTTTTGATTACAAAGAACATAAATTTTTGCTTTATTCAGGTTAAGTTATGATTCCATCTATGACAATGGAGTACTTAGGAAATAAGTAGTATTGATTAATTAATTCTTAACTATTTTAATTCAATAATTACTTAATATAAGATATAAATTTATACTAGTTATGTTATGCAAATGTATAATTGTCTTAACTTTATACAAAAATTTTTAAATTTATTATTACATCTTTACTTGTGGGTCTGTCTAAACTCATAATCAGTTTGAAAGAAGACCATCTTACTACCTATAAAACAATGCCAGATGACTGCGTGGTTAAGATGTCTGCCTTCCACTTCAGGGATCCAAAAACAAATCTGGATGGGTTGAAAATTCTAGAAATTTTTTGGGAATTGTGTCAAATTTGACTCTGGGTATTTTTGCAAATCTCAACATTTTCAGACTCCTTGAACCCAAAACAGTCAAAATAGAGTCAATACCTAATTACAAATAATGTTAGGTTCCTTCAGGGATAAGATCACAGAATAACTTAGTCTCTATTATTGCAATGCGATGACAATTTCCAACAGCAGAATGACACCAATTATTGGTATTCAAATTATTTATTTGCTGTTGTGTGAGCTCAAAAAGATTGAATACCTAGAACAAGTTCTTGGAAACACACGTGAAAACTTTTTAGGATGAAATATTTCTCAATTTTTGCATTCAAATTCTTCCATCTTGGAATCATTTTGGATTAAACCTAGTAATAAAATGTTCTTACATATGTAATAAAAGTTATTTTACTATAAAAATAAATGTAACTGTATAACATTTATTTTGTGTAGTTAAAAAAAAATTCTGAAACACATTCAAAACAGAAAAAAATATTTGGTATCATATGACCTCAGTTTAAACAGGTTTTATTATATGTAATCTAAAATTTTCTGAATTGTGCATTAAAAATTCTGCAATCAAATTGGCTGAATTTTTCAAGACAATTATTACTTATTTTACCAGTTATGGATTGAATTTCTGTTTGGGAAATTCATTATAAATATAAAGGTCTACAGTATTGTTTTTAATCATAAATAATTTTACCAAATTAAAAAATACCTCATCTCTTATTATAATTCACCTTTATATAATAAAATTTAGACATATGTAAAAAAAAATGATTATTAATATAATTTTTAAAAAATTTAAAGGATACATCTAAGGCTAAAACAACTTGTCTGCATACTTCCAATGTTGCACAACTTTTTACATAATCTGAAATAGAATATGCTTATTGATTTATAAATATGCAAAAGATTTTTGTTAAAATTATTGTCAGATTATTACACAGGGTAATTCTTATAAAATACCTTACATATTTTGTTATAATTTATACTTTTGTAATATGATAAAAGAGATTATTTTATTTTATAATGTTTTGCCTATACCTTAAAACCTTAGCTAAAGGCCACCCTTGCATATAAGCAAAAGTTGTAATGGAATATTGACTTTTTCATGGATAAGCCACTCCTTTATGTAGGCTACTACCTATAGCCAAGGTTTTATGTATGATTCTAAATAAAAACCAATAGGAAAAGAACAGCATCAGGGATAACATTATTTATTTAAATCTCACTGTGCTATGTACTAGAGTTAATTGAATGGATTGGGTGCAAAATGTGATATGCCACATAAAGAAGAATATAAATATAGTTTTTTTGAAATTTGAATATTTGTATTCGATCTTGTGGAACGAAATCTTCCAATTGTCTGTTTTCAACCTGATGATGGCCTATGGAATAGGTCGAAAACGTTTGTTTTAATTAAACTTTCTCGGCAACGATAAAGGTGTTTGGTTATTAATGAAGAATATAAATGTGATATTTCTTAAATTCTTCTTTGTGGAGCTTATCACCTTTCACACCTAACAAATGCTTTGAAATTATTATTGCTAGTATATCACTTCATTATTACTGATATATTTTACTTCATTTTTCTTTTATATGAAAGTTACAATATTTACCAGTAATCAGTTTTTCATGTATTAGTTGCCCTTGTGAATAGGCAACACATGATGAATTTTATGAATGTAACCTTGCCTGTATTAGGCTGTAGCCTATATCCAAGATTTTATAGTATATTATATTCATTACATATTTCATAGTTAGCCTTTATTCTTATAAATTATAGCATGTCATTTCATAAAGATTTTTCATAACATTGTGAGCAATTTTGACTAAATTATGATAAATGATAGAACATTTTGAAGTGAACAATCACTAACAAAACCTTTTTTAACCAGTAATTGAGCTTTAACGTATTTTCAATTACTGATTAAAAAAGGTTTTGTTTGTGATTGTTTATTTACTCACTCCAGTAGTTTTGGGAAGAAGACTGTTATAGCATTTTGAAGCACATGTAGTACTACAATATTGGAAATTTTTACTCTGGAAATCAACTTTTTATACTACTATGCATATGTAGCAAGAACTATTTCTATTTATAACTATTTATAAGATTTAAACAATTATCACAAATCTAATATAGTCTTACAGAATTTAGATACCATTGTTATGTATCAATATTTTAACTGGTTTTATCAATATTATAAATTCATTAAGCCTACCGCCATGGTAGAAGTTTACCTAGGGTACGTTCATAAAGTCAAATGAGTTAAATTCGAAGGTTTGTCTTTTTTGTAGAATTTAAAATTATATCCAATATTATATTTGTTATGTTTCCCTTTAACAATATAATATTGGAGGTTGTGAAAGTTTCAGAAGAATTTTGGAAAAACTGCACTTCAAGAGATTTTTTTTCATATGTTGGAATTCAACTTTAAGATTTAGATGTCAACAAGAGAATATCTTCAGATATTAATTTGCTATTCACCTCGGATACTCCAGATCCTAAGGACAATGATCTGGAGTGTACTAACATATGGATGTGAGGCATGGACTCTTACGCATGAAATGATGGAAAGAATTAACTCATTTGAAATGTGTTATGAAATGTAAATGTGAAAATGTGTTTGAGAAAGATGCAAAGAATAAGTTGGACGGAGAAAATAACAAATGAGGAAGTTTTGGACAGGCTGGGCTTGAGGAGAAGGTTGCTTATAAATATCCAACAAAGAAAGGTACGATATGCTGGACATTTGGCTAGAGGATCAGGAGGACAACTACTAAAGACAGTGATTGAGGGACTGGTGGAGGGGACAAGACCTAGAGGAAGACCCCGAAAGACTTGGAGAGATAACATCAAAGACTGGACTGGAAAGGATTTAAGAGAAGCCTGGAATAGAGAAACATGGAGAGGAATACTTCATCAAATGCAACCCTCTGTAGAGAGGATGCCACTGGATAGATAGATAGATATTCACCTCGGTTTGCAACCCATAGATGCTGTTTGTACCAATTGCTCATTTTGTCGTAAATTAATTTATAGAAAAGATCACAATTCTGTATCCTTTACACATAACCAATGTAAAATGAACAGTTCATCGTATGACGGAACATTCAAAAGTAAATTTGGAAAAATTTCATGGGGGTTTATATTTTCTTTCATATGGCATTTAATATGTATTGAGTGTTCATTGAGTACTACTAGTTTGGCTGAGGGCATTAGTAAATGCACTGCTGTAGATTGGGCTAATTACATGCACCTTGTTATGATGATTTCTGTAAGTAATTTTCAGAATTGAAAATTGGGGGCTTGGGGAAAATAGTTGAAATAGATGAAAACTGATAAGCAAAAGAAAAAATGAAAAATGGCATATTTTGAAGGTAAATTGTTGGGTTGGAGGAGTATGTCGTCAAGATAACACGTTTTGTGTCAAAGTGAATGATAGATCTCAACTAAGTCTTAACTGGGTAATTTCAAAATATCTTGTGTATAAGTAACAAAAATATATATTTACTTATGGTGTGGTTTTTTATATTTCTTTTAAAAAATCTTCTAAAAAAATTGAAGAGGAGTGCAAGTGAAACAAAATTTTGCACTTAAAATCCATTGTGTAATAAAGACTAACAATTGTAATCTTAAGTAGTTTTTGTCTCTGATAAAATGCAGTTATAGATAAAATACGACAATGGTATTCAGTATTAACCCTTGAAGTTTTTCATTTTTTTGAGAAGATTTTTTAAAAAATTGATTTTTTTAAAGAAATCTGGAAGTATCATATACGCTAAATGGAAAGGGTACAATCATATTGATGACTTAGAAGGCATTGACATTACACATAAGTCCATTACACATAAATATGCTGAAAATTTTGTCGATCCTGTAACCAGTGTGCATACACAAAAAATACAACGTTTGTGGCATTATTTAAAAAATAGAAAAAATTTGCCTATGCATTTTACTGAAGATCTATCAGATTCTTACTTGTATTCTTTTATGTACAAGATGATGTTTAGATGGCAATATTTAAAACCTGGAGAACGTTTTCAATTATTTGCTAAGCATTTGAGTAGGATATATCCCAGTGCTGGACAAACTCCAATTTGGAAAATGCCGGAAAGTGTGCCTTCTGCCCCGAAACAAATACAAAGAAGAAAGAAAAACTTAAAAATAAGAAAGTGGAAATGTCTGTTAGAAGTACTGTTAAATTGTCATTTAAGAGAAAGGATGAAGTTTCTAAACAAATAGATGATTCATGTTCTATGCCAAAAAAAGAAAAAAGGGAAATAAAACTATGGTAAATGTGAGTTGAATATTTATGTTTTTACTACATTTAAGTTAAATAATTGTATTATAAATAAGTGTTTCTATTTATAACATTCGGTGGTTGCCATTGGGACTACATAGGTAAATTTCTACCTATTAAATTAAAATATAAATGAAAAATTGAAATAAATAAATAAATAAAATTTAAAATTCAACTAATCAAACTGGGTATATTTGTAGTGCCTAACATTAAGTAGTATTGGTTGACATCAGGGGCAGACCTACATAGGGACTAATAGGGCTTAAGCCCTGGATCCCCAAGTGTCAAGGGCCCACAAAAATTGAATTATCATCATTAATTTTTAATACTTTTTCATTAACAATGAGCACTTATCGCATAATAAAAAATAGCTAATAGGTTAGGTTTGATAAAAATGGGGCCCCATTGGACTTCAATAAGCCCTAGGCCCTGAAAAACTTAGATCCACTCCTGGTTGACATATCAAAGACTGGATTTAATTATGCAGTTAAGTCATATTGTTGTTAGATATTTTTCAAACAAGCCACATTTTGTTATGTAATATGCTATTATAAATTATATAAATTTATATATAGCAACTACTGAAAGACAAAAAAATAAGACTGATTTTAGATTTTATTTTATGTCTATATTAAAATATTTAAATAAAACAACTGATAAATTGTATTTCAATGTCTCATAACAACAAAATCTATCATAAAAATCAAGAACAACAAAAAAAAAACATTTAACATTAATAACACTTAATGCAATATTTATTGTTTATTTCTTGTATTTCTAGTTAAATTCTTTTATCATTTTACAGTTATTGATGATATAAACTTCCTTGTACAAATGTTTAATTTAGTTTTAAAAATTATAATAAATCATTGAAATAAATAAATTTTTAAAATGGTTTATTTGTTTAAATTAACTTTACTGATTGATATAATAAACTTTTTTGTAAATCTTACCATTAGGTAGACAAGCTTCAAGTAATTCCTGCAGTTCAAATGCATTAACTGTTTTATGCTAAAAAGAAAAATTAATTTTAAATATATCTAATTAATTCTTTAACCACATTAGTTTTTAAATGTGAATTCAATTCTCACTTCATCAGCAAGTTGAAGAAAAATTGCTTCATATGAACAGATCTTGCTGTCAAGTGCCGGAGCCTAAGATTTTATTATTGATAAGAAATGTATTATTTGAAATATTTTTATTTTGTATTTGATTATATTTTGTAATTTTATTATACTTACTTTGATAATTGCTGATTTCAGAGTAGCTGGAGTGCAATCTATTAATCTGAAAAATGTCAATTTTGTAAGTAATGTTTACGTCATATAGTATTATATATTTCACAAAGTAAAGTATTTATATACATAACTTAATTTTAGTTTGAAAAATATGCATATTTATATTCTTTATTGATACACAACACATAAAAACATAAAATTCTTTTTAATTAACTTATGGAATTTTATGACATACAAAAGGTCAATTTTAAGGACATCCCATTTATTATAGTGATAAATACACCTTACTTTTCCAACAGACAATTGTATGTGTTACTAATGTTTTTGGCTTTTTTGAAAAATCCTGCCTCAGAGGTTCTCTTCAACAACCTGAAGCAAGCTTTTCAAAAAAGCTGAAAATGTTTGTAATGCATACAACTGTGTGCTGGAAAAATAAACTAGGTGAGTTTCTCACTACAGTTACATTTATTCGAATTTGGATAACTCAATTCTATTTATTTAAAAAAATGTATATTATTACTAATTTGCTCTCCATTATTTTAAATTACAATATAATTCTCTCAGTTTACATTTGAAATTTGTCCAAATTTTATATGTCTGACAATATGATGTATGTTGATAAAAGATAAAGTTTCTCAAATATAATATTTCCTAATATTACTGATTAAAAAACATTTTCATAATACAGATATGAAATTATTACAGATAAATTTTATTTGTTTTTATTGAATTATTACTCCATTTTATTAAAAACATTACTAACTTTTTAGAATTTTACAAAATGATCTCAACACACACTCCATCAACCTAAAACATCTGAATCTTTTCATCAGTCTGAATGTATTTTGCTCTTATTAAAACCCACCCAATTTTACTTTTAAAATTTACAATCATAACCTTTCCTGTATATCTTCTCTGACAATAAACTCACATATTGACTACTGTGGCTGCACGCCATATTTTAAACTATATGATTTGTATATATATATCTTCACTTCACCTTCGTCTGTCCTATTTGTTTACTCTTCTATAATCTTATCGTCTTCCCATTGACTTTAGTGTGTGGGTGAGCTGAGATGAAAGGAATGAATGGAAGGCTTGTGAGAGGGGACATGAGTGGACTGAGGGGAGGAACGAGGGGGAGATAAGAAGGGGGAGAACGAAGGGAGTGAGTGGAGAGGAAAAACGAGGTCAGACTGGAAGAGAGAGGAGAAGAGAAAGGACCTGTGGACCGGGGAGGAAGGAAGTGGAAAGAGGAGGGCAAAAGGAAAGTATCTCCTGTAGGTTTAGTGCCGTATAGTGAGAGAAGAAAAAGAGAACTTTGGAACGAGAAGAGAAAAAAAGAACTTAATTGAAAGGAACCAGACGGATCACCCTTTTTGGATTAACATCTCCGTGTGAAACTAACAGTGAGTTAATCAACCCCCAGACCGACGAGGAGCGCCCCTTTTGGATTAATATCTCAGTGTGAAACAAGAATTGAGTGAATCATCCCCCCTTGAGCTATGAGAAGCCTCATCCACGAGACCACACACTTCAACCTGCATCATCAAGTTTTGGGTACCCTCTTTCCTTATTCTTTTCTTTCACCTTCTAAATCTTCGAATAAGCCGGCTATATTCAATTAGTTTAGTAATAATAATAGGAACCTAGTATTAAGTAAGATAATTTTAGTTAATCAAATGTCCGGTTTGGGAAAAAGGGACAACTAGAATTGTTGGTATCCTATGAAATCCTGTATTCGAACTAGCGAGTTAATAAACGATTGTATTTTGTATTACATATCTGGATTGTGTGCCTTTATTTAACTCACCGGAATCACACTACATTACTAAGGGACTAGCTGTATGTAGGGGATTCTTGTGGAGAAGCTGTTTACTACACACAATATTTTTCACCAATTTTCAATCTATTATTAATTATTGCCTTCCCATTTGACCTCTGTCTCAAAAAGACAGAAAAGCAAAATAACTACTGAAATTTTCACTATACCTTTAAAATGCAGTCTACTTTTGTCAGTTCTCTAACGTTTTCGGTCTAATTTATAGACCTTCTTCAGGATTGATGTAAAATATTTTAAAAATTTGAACTTTCTCAACGGTAATTCGAACCACGCACGTTCTATAATCTTCAGATATTCGATCGCGCATGTCCATTAGCTCTTTATAATGCCGCCGCTCTCCATGCCGTTGCTATTCTACTTGACTCTCGAAAATTTATATTAAGCCCCTTTTCTCTGTATTTATAAATGTGCCATGCCTCTGCATACTTTAGATGTCGTATATTATCGATCTTTTGTACAATATCCGCCTTGCTCCATTCGATTGTAATCTCTGCAGGATCCGCGATAGCATAATTGGCCAAAGCCGTGATCGGTTGTTTAGATCTTATATTTTTTTCGTGCTCCTTCAATCTTTCTCTTAATGATCTCTTTGTGGCTCCTATATAATATAACTCTTTCTTTAGCCTTTTATCATGCAACGGTATTCTGTACACACCTGGAACTAGCCTCCTGTCTATTGGTGTTTTGTCATTTCTTAGCATTTGGAATATTGTCGTGTTTCTCTTATATGCTATTTTCTTTTTGCTCTCTACTCCTATTTTTCTGTATATGCCACTTAACGGTGCTCTGTATTCCATTACGGTGAACTCCTTTTTTTCTTTCTTATCTTTAGTCTTATTGCATCCTTTTTCCGCTTCTTGTATTAAGGCTTTTACTTTACTTTGCTTAAGTCCTACATCTCTTGCTAATTTTGCAATGTAATCAAGTTCTTTACGTGTGTCATACATCCTGCTACAATGAGTGTATGCTC